TTGCTCCCTCTTGGGTGTGCTTTTGTTTTTAATGCTGTGGCTTGGCATTTTTAGCAGCAGAAATTCATTATGATCTCATGTAAACAGAGTGGCTTTTATTGGAAGGGGAGAGCTTCAGTTTCAGGCATCACTAGGTGGAGGCACTGCACAGCACAATGCTGGTGTGGCTCACAGCTCCCGGGGTTTCAGCAACCCTACAGCCAGCTTCTATGGCTCACCCTGGAACACTCAATCTTTTCCCATCCTCAGCTGTCTGCTCTCTTGGATGTGATCCTTTCCTTAATAATAAGCCAATTCATCTTCTAATTTAGGTACCCAACAAACTTTATGGTCCAACCCTCCAAAAATGTCAAACATGCCAAAGTTAGCAGCTTTTTAAAAGTGACAGCAGACGGTGCTGGCACATCTTTGGCTCATTTAAATGCATATGTGTATCAAGCCATTCAGATCTAGGATGAGGAAACATATTTTTATGAAAAACTTGGCTTTTCTTTTAAAAGTCAGCATGTGGTCTATTCTCTTCAGTCTCTGAGGAAAATTAAGTTCCATTTACTTTAAAAATACAGGAATCAGAGCCAGATATCAAGCAGAACCAGATGTCACGACCCAGAAGAGAGCATACACAGATGGAAAGGGGACATATGGCACACAAGTTTTTTCCCACTGTGAGTGTCCCTGTCCAGACAGCTCTTTAGCTTTTTCCCTGTTTGTTCCTGGAGGCAATATGTAGGGGAGTTAACTGCCAAGGTTTTTTTCTGTTTTAAAGGGACAGATGAATGTTATTTTTTGTAACTCCCAAATACTCTGCTTATTCACCATTTCAGGATTTAAAAACTTTACCTCTCAGTAGGGTCTTTAAACAGAATCATGGAATATTCTGAGTTGGACGAGACCCCCAAGCATCACCAAGTCCAACTCTAAAGTGAATGGCCCATATGGGGATAAAATATGCAACCTTGACTTTATTAGCGCCATCCTCTGACCAACTGAGCTGATCTCAGGGTCCTAAAGATGCATTTGTCCTGCCATTTCTGCTATGTTCCACTTGAAATTATGTAGTTGTTTCACACCTTACCTAAAAAGCACAGATCTAGTTGATACAGTCTGAGTGTGCTTCCCTAGGAGCAAGAGGTCAGAAAAGAGTAGATAGCTTGAATTTCTTTCCAAATCCAGTGCTTGTCCAAGTCCCCCAGTTCCACGGCACAGAAGAAATAGTAACATTATGCATATTTGTAAAGGAAAAAAAAAACAGAAAACAAACAAATAAACAAACAGCGTGGATATTAGAAACAATGTGTTCAAAGAGAGAAAAAAATGCCTTCTTAAGGACTGCTCTCTTTACATCTTGCAGGGGACATTAGATAAACAGAGAAAGAAAGTGTTAAAGATCAGGTCTCGAGAAGTGATGAAGCAGCACTGGGGTGTGTTACTATAGAAAGTGCAGGAAAAGGAAGCACTCCACTGATGCATATAGCCAGTGAGATAAGGGAAAGAGAGAACATGGATTTTAATAATTGCCAACAGAAATAAACCCATCAGGGAAAGTATTTATTCAAAAAGAAAGAAAAGAAACAATGAGACAGCATTCAAAATTTCCCTCTGACTACAGCCACTTCTATGCTCAAGGAAAAAAAATCAAACTGGGGCAAAGACCAAATAAGAAGCTGACAGCAGAAATGAACCAGAAATATTTACACATCTAAGTCACTTGGTCTGGAGCAGCAATTCAAAATCAACTTTTTGGAGCAAAAAATTCACCTTAATGACTTGGTGACCTTTCTACCTTTCTTCAGGATGAGATAGTAACCCCTGATAAACACTGCCAAGCAGGGCTCTAACTCCAGCTGCAATGCCACAGTGTCCAGGTGCTCTCTCAGAGGAGTCACACAAGCTGTACATTTTAACTGTGCCTCTTGATCCCAACAGACATCAAACTCCTTTTTTTCAATCAATTTTAACATGGGAAGCAACCTTAGAGTGGGCTGAGGAAGCAAATATCTCTACTACTACTATTTTCTAGCTCCCTTTTAGTGACAAATGTTCAGTTTGTCTCAAAAAACACATTGAGTGCTATTTAATATTATCCTAAATTAAAAGAGAATAAACATGCACATCAAATGGTGTGCTTTGCTTTTACTCTTGAGAATAACGAGTGTAAAGATGAGAGGAGGAAATGCTATTGCTCCTGTGTTCATGAGTTGTAGCATCTCTGACTAAACCTGAGACCTGGAAATACCCTGAAGGAAAGCTGCTAGCCACTGATTTTATTTACATGTGTTCCAAAGCTCTATAACATAATACTTCCTTGGTACTTCTAGGGAAAAGGTCTCTCCTTAGCACAGATGTCATAAATATTAACTGTATCCTGCCTACTTCATCTTCAAACTAACTGCAGCTGTGAAAGGAAGCAGAGCCACTGAGCTACCACAGTGTCTGAACAAAAGGCAGGATGGGCTTACTTCTCAACCAGAAGCTCCAGGCACCAAGATAAAGAGAAAATGTAAGATTGAAAATTGCTCTTGCACTGTTCTACATTCTAGGGTGCAATATGGAGGTAAATTTAAAGGAAAAGGAAAAAAAAAACCAACAATAAACCTCAAGGTCAGTCAGGGCTGTCCTGTCTGAGGCTATTGCATTAAATCTACCAGATCCTAAAATCTTAAAAATTCATTCTGAGCTCAGAGCACATTCCTCCCAGTCACATAAATCTCTATCCATGAATTAATACATCACAGGTGCTGTGCTGGTTTTGTGTGGGAGGGTGGGAGGAGACACAGCTGGGAGAGGTGACCTAAACCAACCAAAGGGGTATTCCAGATCAGATGACATTGTGCTCAGTATATAGAGTGGGGGGAAGAAGGAAGAATAAGGGGATGTTTGGGGTGATGGTGCTTGTCTTCCCAAGTAACCATTGCACATGATGGGGTCAGGCTGTCCTGGAAATGGTTGAACACCTGCCTGCCCATGGGAAGCAATTAATTAATTCCTTGTTTTTCTTTACTCATGTGTGTGGCTTTTGCTTTCCCTATTAAACTGTCTTCATTTCAACTCAGAAGTTTTCTTTTACCCTTCTGAGTCTCTCCCTGATCCCACTGGTGGGGAAGTGAGTGTCTGTGTGGGGCTTGGCTGCTAGCTGGGATGTGTACATTGGAACATGAAACAGGCCACATCTCAGTGCTATTTACCATAGACATAAGAAAGCAGGATATGATCACAGAAAAATCAAGAAAGAAGTCTCGCAGAAAGCACCAGCATCACAATATGGATGGAAAGATGCAATGGAATTAGCAAATTCAGACAAGTTCATCACAAGGCAAGGAAAGGACAATGCAATCTGGACTACCAAATAAATAGACAGGAGCAAGCCAACAGAATAAATACATAGCTATGGTTGAAAAGCTAAAAATGGTGCAGAGAATGCTTTCAATGTATCTTACACCACATACCATTTAGACTTTGCTCTCTGTCAGCATAAACAATAAATATATCTACTACAAAGTGATGAACAAATACCCTTCCATTGATTAGCATTTTCTAATGTGACTTGCAAAAAACATTCTCCAAGGAGAGAAAACTCACTTTTATACAAGGACACAAAATAATCATACTAAATATTGTTTGAAAGAAAGTATCAGGTAAATCAGTGCTGACTCACAATCGTCCTTCTTCACTTACGAGTCATTAGGATCATCTCATTTAGTAGAGAAATGGGAAAATTATTATCTTGAGTAATGTGACAAACCTCTGAAAAGAACTATGAAAAGAAGCAGCCAGATATCATAACAGCACATTCACAGAAGAAAAAAAATACCAGCACAAATTGCAAATCAGTTTACTTTTATATAGTACTCCAAGTCCTAGTCATTAGTTTGTTTGGGGTTTTTTTATTTCAAAGCACATGAAATAAGGAAGCTGAAAAAATCTACCACAGTTTCAACATCATTTCCTTATTATTTTTCTCCTTCTACATGGATAATAAGAAGGTTCTGTTTTTAAACACAAATTTTAAAAAGGAAAGAAGGAAAGAAAGAAAAAAAGTACCATGAAATGCTATTGGAAATCTTTCCCTTTGATTATATATTTCTAGATTTTGCTCTCTCTCCCATCAATACAGCCCAATGAAGAATATATTCTAGATACACATACCTCTGAGAGCCAACTGAAAGGAATTCCATGACAGATGCTATTCTGGCAATAAACACGATGTTAGAACGTATATAACTTCAGAAAATAATTTTTAAAAAGCAAGCAAAATTCCTATTTGCATTTAGATGATGTTCTTCAAAGCTAGAGCATGAAAACTCTTTGAAAAGGAAGCAGCATGTCATTTTCTCACAGTGATGCACAACAAAATTGGATTGGGATCCAGAAATACCAAGCTACTCTCAAGAAGTTTGGTGTAGCCACATGCCTTTAACTTTTTCTTTCACAAGTAGATGAAATACCATTTCTTGCCATTAGAATTTGGTCATGTTTCAGAACTGGCCATTTCCCACTCTCCAGGATACCCAGCCCAAGCATAGCTCTTTGGTAGATTCTCAGAGAATTTCTGTCCATGCAGTTAGCACAGCTGAGACACACCATGAGAACATCTGGTTTCCAGAGTAGTAGCACAGTCTAGAAAGCTTCCCATTCTCAAAAAGTACGAACCATTTTCAGTTTCCCAAGCACTACAAGAGACTAAGTTTCAAAAGTAAACATACACCAGCTATTACAGAATTGTTCAGCACTCTAAAAATCCACAGATTTCATTCCCTTCCATTTGCTGAACACATTTAGTACCAACTGTTCAGCAGAAACACATTTAGTGTTGTGATGAGTTTTAATATATGCTATGTCATGTATTTCCCCAACCCTTTCAAGAAGCAAGGGTAAGGTCTGTTGCTCAGGAGACAAAGCTTGCACAGAGCAGATTCTTGCAGCAATAAAGAAATCAGACAATCATGGAGAGGCAACAAGAATTGGAACAGAATGACAAAGAGAATGCTGATGATAGAAATAGACTTTTAATTTTATCAACTGCAGTTTTGATTTTTAAAAAATGGACTTCACAGCTGTTTATTCATACAAATTTATGTGGACCACGGCTACTTAATAACCTATCATCATCACCCTGTTTACCTATAATACTTAATGGAGACTAAGACAATGAATTGTGGCACTATCCAAAACCCAGAAGTAACAAAGTTGCACAGAGTTTTTTCCTTTAGGGTGTAATTTATGGAAGAGATGAGCAGTTTCTACTCCTCAAAGAAAACATCCACTTTGTAGTATAAAGAATATGCAAGAAACATCCCAATTCAGAATTACCTTCTTAGTATTATTTAAATAAGTGCTTCTTAACTTTCCTTTGCTGCAGAACTGTTTGAAGTTAGGGGCAAGGAATACACTTCAGAATAAGATCCCTTTTTCCTGGGCGGCATTTGATAACGCACATTTTTCCAGAATCTTGTGTTTGCTGAACAAGATTTCTCTGAGAAGTCCCCTTTCCATTGAATAGCTCCATGTTTTTGCTTAATGTATCTGATTGATTCTGGCATGCTGGTATAGTCCTGTATTTCACCCATTTCTATAAGAATCACTTGGATCCCATCACGGATGAGAGCATTATACATAGCTAGCTGTTGCTCAGAGGTGTCTTCCAACAGGCAGCACCTGGATGTTTCTGATCCCAAAATAATCATCAGTCTTCTGCTTTGCTTAAGGGTTTCATCAGCAACACTGACCACAGCTGTAAGTGATGAAGGAACAATCAAAGCTTGCATAGAAACTTTACAACTGGTGTAAAATAGTTCTTTATTTTAAAATTGCAAACATGTGAAGCTGTGGCTAGCTCAGAGCAGTGATTGCTTTAAGATCTTCACACTGACAGTCATGATTCATGATCCATTGCATGACATAACTTCTAAAAAAATTGTTTTCTTCATCCCTCAGGAGAATTTATCGTTCAAAAAAACTCAACTGTATTATTAATGCTATCAAGTCCTCATTTGTTCATCACTAAGAAAGTGCAGACCCTCATAACATCAGAACAGAATTTTCTGTTATGAAAAAAAGTTATGAAAAAAAAGGAAAAAGAAAAAATGTTCATTGGGCAAATTGTCCATTAAAACTAAATAAATACAGTTTTCTTTTCCAAAAATGCGTGTTTCAATTGCATAGATAAACTTATAACCTGAGAACAATGTTTCAAAAGGCAACCTGTTAACTCTGCTAATTAAAGCATACCTTCTCCTGGTAAATCATCCCTTCCTAATATGAAAAGGTGATATCCACATTGTTTTTCTAAAACATCTGGGAGCATCCTATGAACAAAGGTTTCCAGACAACATATACTTCTGCCTTCACTGCTTTTTGTGTACAGGACATATGCATCGTAGATTTTCCCATCTAAAAGAAACACAAACATTTCTATTAAAAAACTAAAAGTCAGAAAAATGCCTTTATTGCAAAGTTCCATTTTTGGACTGTTTAGAAATAGTAATGTGGGGCTGATTTCACCTTTCTGACAGAATCACCTCACAGAAGTAAAATGATCTATGAATCAAAATAAAGATGACCAGCCAGAGCATCTGACTTCCTTTCCCGTCCTGGGGATGAAAATCACCGAATGAGCCGGGTGCAGGACCTGCAGGAAGGAGCTCCCAGTCCTAGAGGTGCCAGGGCATTGAGGAAGTACCCTCTCCTCTACTGAAGGACTTTCTCCACCACCTCTCCTGAAGGAAACTTAACGAGCAGTTATCTCCACTTCTGACTAACCACAAGAGAAGGTGGGAAAATGGCAATTCTTTCTTGCAATAATCCTGAGAGGGCTTTTCTCAGGTAGAAGAAAAGCCCAGAAGGCTTCTGAAGGTTTGCTTAGCAAGCTGGACTGAAAGAACCAAGCCAAAATCAGATCTAGCTCAACAAGTTAAAAACTTTGATCTTTTTTTTTCTTTTAATTAAAACTCTATTACGGTATTATAGTAAAACTGAATTTTTTACCAGGAATTGAAATTATTTTCCTGTGAAAACATTTAGCACAGTCATGAGTAAACATTAACTACCTTAATGTATGTAATTCCTTCACTTTCAAGCCATGGGGAACTTCAGACAGTCTGATTCTGAGAACTGACATGAAATATATCTGTGATGTTGTGCTTATTTCAAATTTTTCACACCTGTCCAATATATCTGCCTACAGTGCATTAAACTAAAACACATTAGAAGAATCCCAGAACACAGAACTAGCAGCAAATTTTTTCTTTGATATGTCAACACCATAATTGACAGGATTTAGAAGGAAAGTGAAGGTAACAGACAAATTGCAAAATGGAAAAAAAAAAAAGACCAATAAAATTAATATATGACAAATGAGTCTGATTTTCAAAATAAATATTTTAGGCACGTCTTTAAACATCCAGTTTACAGGATGTAGCTCTGCTGACACCTATTGTTCATCATCAGAGTGACCATAAATCTACATGTAAAGAAACTACAGAAAAGCAAAAAACAATATGCTCATTTTGTAAAAACCTACAGTTCTTTTGGCCTATCTCACTATGATTGCCTTCAATATTACACAGTTTTTATTAATTTAAGCAAAATTATATGTTTTACCCATATGACTGAAAAAATCCTGCACAAAATGTCTTTGTGCATATCTGAAAATTCCTTATGGAAGTTCTACATATATTGTTCTAAATAATCCCATTATTTCTCAGAAGTAAAGGCAAGAGAAAAAAATCAATAGGCTAATTACACTTACATGCCTGGTCACACTCACATACCTTCCTTACTTGTAAGGGCACAGACAGAAGTACGGTACCAAAGTACCAAATCAATCTTGAAAATCTTGTAGATTATTAAAGTAATAAATGTTAAAATTAACAAAGAGACAAGCCCTCCAGTCAGCCATCGTCGTAGGTCAGGAACTGCACAAAAATATAAGAAATTTGTTTTAAATGTTGAATTTGTTCAAATCTGATCTTCCATATAAATTCAATACAAATTTGAATATTACATTTTTCATTCCTATTCACCTTGTTTTTTAAATAATGATAAATACAATGCTATAGTGATTTCTTCCCTATGCACAGGCACATGCATACTGGAAACTAATACATCTGTTTTCTTTCAAGGAGAATTTGGTATCAAAACACCTTCTGGGGAAGTATAGATAATCACAGGCCGCAAAATAATAGTATTTTTACCTCTGTGTTTTAATATAATATAGGATGCAACTTGCCCAAAGGCATTTGAAGCTTGACAGACAAAAGGCTGTTCATAGTCCTCACTGCTTACTTCTGAAATTATCAGCTTCACAGAATGCATAGGGCGCCCGTCGTTAGAAGTTTCTCCCCTGTCCAAAAGGTGACAAATAGAACCATAAAACCACAGCCCATTCAGGAATGGCTTCATCTCTAACATCTGCAGCACAACAGTGGTTATTTCCTTCTGCAAATGTCAACCACACTTCCCAACAGATGAACAATTACATCATATGAAAGAAACCCAAGCAGTCAGACCTCTCCTGGTACTGACATTAAGCATGTGCATTGGAAAGCATCAAGACATCAAGACATTATCTTATCTGCAGCTGTGTTTCCCCAAAGGAACATAAGGTTTCTATAGTTGGAAGCTCAAAAATATGCCTTACAAATCTAAATAAACTCTTGCTATGGGCTTGCCAATTCCTGTGAGGGTAGATGGACATAGATATTTCACAATGGGATATGACATTCAGGGAATGAATGAATCAACATCACTAATGCAAGTGACCAAAGATAACCATGTAAGTGTTAGGAAGTACAAAAAATAACAATGCTTTTGCAGTATCAATTAAGAGACCATGTGTCACTGCTTTATGGCCCAATTGTTTATGGCACTATAATTCTTTATGACAGTATAATATATTACTTTTGCATAGTGTTTTCTCTTGGTGAGCACTCAAATAAGTCAGCATTTTGTTTCTCCCTTTGTTTTATGATGAAAACTTATTTCTTGCAACTATATTCTTACTTTGCTGACATCATTCTCTTTTTTTCATTGGTTTTTTAGTCCTAGATAGTGCTCCAGAATTTACAAAAATTATCACTTTTTTTTTTTACAGTGCCACCGTAAGAGCTGACAAAAAAACCTGAAATCTTTAGTTCAAAACCTGTAATGTCTAAGAAAATTTCAGATTGCCTCTTGCTCCAATTTGAGTTGGTTTTTCCAGTCAGGTATAATTTCTCTTCTAATTCCATTTGACCTGCTTTTCACCATGACCTTATCTCCCACTTGCCCTTCATATGCTTTACTCAGTCCAAGTCCTCCCAAAACCCAGCTCATCACTGGAATTCTGTCTCCCTTTTCTCCTCTAACCCCTAAGCTTCAGTACAAATGCTCTCAATAAAGTCTTCCATTATCTCTTCAGTTTATCTCAGTTAAATTGCTCTAACTTAATGCCCTTAAACCTAGAAATCTTGATTTTTCCTGTATAGCACAGATTTGTCCTCTTGAAACCTTTCAGGGAGGCAGATGTGGAACACAGAAGAAAGAGACAGTGTGAAGATCATGCACCTGAACATGCCTGATTTGACCAAAAGAGGTCTCTGCCAGGCCAGAGCTTGCTCAAAAGAAACTGTATTACAATTGTGGCACTGTCACAAAACATGTTTTCCCAACACTGGAAATTCAGACTGATTTTTTATAATGAGCAAGAAACATACAATCACATGTGAAGTTCATGTGTCTACTGTGTTTAAAGTTTCTATTTCAAAGCAAGAAGTAAATTAGAGAAGGCAAGCATTAGAGTTTTTAAGAAGAATGCTGTTTAAAGCAAGGGAAAAATGTTGCTAAATATTTTAATGTCAAAGGGAGAAAGTTCCACTTTGGTTGCCAACACATATATTTTCTAATCTGAAAATATACTTACTCATAGGGACTTGCAAAAATTCTGCTCATGTGAAATACATCAATATACACACCGTGTCCTGTCCAGTACACCTCATACCCATCAGCACCTGTGGTGTTGCAATCCACAGTAACCTGTGAGCCTATAAAATTAAGTTACAAAGTAAAGAGCTAATTTCCATGACCTAATTAAAGTCTATACAATCCTGTTCTCAGATTCACACACGCACACCAGCTAAGGATGATACCACACCCTTTCAACAAAGTTACTCTAACAGAGGGTCTGTACTCTCAGTGATCCGCAGGTCCAGAAAGAGAATGGTAGGATGGAAGAATCCAGGAAGGAGATGCTTCTCCTTGGGGCATCACTTTGCCTGCAGATTTGAGATAGACCTGTTCTTAGAATCATTTCCAGAGTGATGGAAAGCAACAGATGTGACAGATAATCACTTGAGTTCCTACAATTTTCCTTGCAGGTGAGAAATTTCTTTAGGACTTTGCAAGCAACATGCCTCGTTTCTTTCCCTCTCACCCCTCATTCCTCCTTTGGGAGATAAACAGAGAGAAACTGACCACTGAAGTAGTTTTTTCATAAAATAAAAACAAGAAAGCACAGAATAGGACACTCCTTGAGAATACATTTTAACTAGGATACAAATTCATATTTTCTCTAGAGAAAACTACTTACCGAGTTCCACTTCAATGGAGTTGTTTCTTGGGTAAGTAATTTCTGGAGGCTTTTTTGGTGGGGTCACTATGCAAAAGAAAGAAAGTGCTTTTCAGAAAACCAGGGGCAGTTGCAGTCTGCTTTATGCTCTATAATGCAAGTACAACCTAAAAACACCCCTTGTACTAAAGACAAGGTTGTCAGCCATTTTATAACAAAATATCACTCAGTACCAAAAGTACCATATCTCAGGTAGTCATTACTGCACATTTAGGTGAAAAACAGAAGTCCTAAGCATGTCCATCCACAAATTAGGTCTTTCCACTTTAGTTGAGCACAAACACAGTGAAATTATTTACTTACCTTCTACAACCAGACTGATGTCTCGTGAAATATTATATTGTTTCCCATTGTAGGTATATGTTGTTTCACAAGTATAGTTCCCTCCATCATGTACAGTTACATTGAAAATTATAAGGTCACTGTTTGAAAGGACAAACCTTTTTCCTTTCAGCAGCTGGCAATCCTAAAAGTGTGTAGAGAACTCTGTTAACTCACATCTCTGTATACTTCTATGGTTTGTCTCTTTATGATACAATCTGAAGTTTCAATGGACCACAGCATAAGGATGGTTATGCAGAGGCTGAGGAAGAGTGAGGGCAGCAGAATATGAAGAAATGCATACTTCACTTCAGCTGAGATTTTAATTTAAAGATACCCCAGTTCATTCCCTTTGGAAAACAACTTTTTATATTAGAGAAATAATAAATTAAAATGTGGGTTGTTAGTATTTGCAAAAGTATTCATCAGTGAATCATCACCCAATAATTAGACTTTATTTTTTAAGGCGCCTCAATGCTACTGGTACCACATGGACTGCATGAGCCAGAGGCAGGAATCTGGCAGAAGGCACTACATTCTTGCAACAGAAAGAGCCTTTAAAAGAGCATGAACAACAAGAACTAGAATAATGGAATAGAACAGTATTGAGCACTTAATGGAAATGCCATAGTAAATCTGTTTCCACCCAAGGCCGTGTTTCCCTGGCAGGTGAACAGATGCCACCTGGTGGGTAGCGGGTCAGCATCACTCCCACACCTCAGCTGAAATTCTGCCCTGATAATCAAGAACACCTTTAAAAGACAGAAAGTCTTAATCTTCTTCCAATTTGTTTTAAAAGTATTTTTCTCCAACTTACAGTAAATCTTTAGTTCTTCTGTTCCAGTTCTCAAAGATCACTGATTTTTATTATAAATAATGGACAGCTATAAGAGAATAAAATACTATATTCTCACCTTATACCAATGAACAGGATGAATATTCTTGTCTTTCCTGAAATAATCCAAGTGGGGACAAACAACTTTTGCAGAAGATGATGTGAATATCACCTCCTCTACAGCAAATTTTTCATTTAAGCATAAACCATCAATCCTCTCAAAAACTGTTACTTTTGTACACATTTTTTTGCAGCTTGTCAAATCCCTGCAATTAATAGAACACAATTAAATTAACCCATTTGACACATTTTGCAGGTCCAAAATGTATGGCATTCTGTTTGGAGAAGAAAAAATGTTTACAGATTCTTTAATAGATTTGCTTACAAGGAAAAAAATGCAAAACCAGATTTAATTTCCCCAAACTAAAGTTATTTTTTGAAGATGCATTCCCTCTTCTTCATTACAATTTATCTTACCCACAAAATTTTACTTGCTTTTTAAAAGTTACTCACTTTGTAACTCATTTCTGTAAAAATATAATTTTTTCTAATTTTCACCTTACGACACATTCGTAATCTCCAGAATCTTCTAATGTGGCAGGAAGAAACCAAATTAGATTCTTCTGCTGATGAACTCTAGACAGTTTGTCTCTAGACACAGCTCTCTTGTTACCAACTTTATACCATGTTAAATTGTAGTCTCCACTTTTCAAACTCTTTTCCAGTGAACACTTAATAGCAAGAGGCTGCCCATCAGGCACAAGACTCTGCTTCAACATCACATCATAGGCTTCACATTTCTCTAAAGGAAAGAGATAAGCATTAAAGAAAAACTCAAACACTCTACAAAAATATACTGAACTCATTTCCTGATTATAAATTACAAACCTCATTGGAGTTTTCACCTCCATTCTCAGGTCAACTACTAAAAATATAATTTTAATCCCTTATCTTTACAGCTGAGAGTACTACTCAGTAGTTTACAGATATAGTTATGCCACTAAAATGAAATGCTGTTTTTTGAATGCAATCTTTACACTCAGTAGAAAGCCTTTGTAGCAGAGTTGTCATTTGCATGTTTTATTTCAGATGCAAATTGCTAAAGTACTTGTGTTTCTCCAGTCTGTTCTGTGGGCATGTACACAAACACAAACATGCGCACAAATTTCACATTTAATGTCTTTATTTTTTAACTTCACTTAACTGTAGTTAAGACAGACTATGCTTTTGATATTTAAATGTCCTAAGAGGACACAGAAGTTAAAGATTGTGTTGTAAAAATATTAGGTTTGCCATGGGAATTTCAACTGACCCTTCATTTTATGAGCATTTAGAGAGGAGTCATTACAATCACCAATGAGCTCATTTTCTTTACTTCTGACACAGACTCATGCAGAAAAGGAGCAAACCAAGAGTTTTGTTTGGGCTTTTTTTTTTTTTTTCTTTTTTGCCATATGACAAAAAAGGCACCAGCTCTGGATACCATGGTCATGTTCCTAAGTCAGTAATACATTTATTGAAACTTCCTCACTTTGTTATTTTATAAGAATTGCCACAGAGAGTCATGCAAGTGTCTGTTTAGCCCAAAATCCTGTCTCTGATAACCACCAGTGGCAAAGGTGCAGACCAGAAGGGGACACAATAAATAAAACACTGCTCTGATTTCAGTCCCTTTACGTTCTGCATGCAAAACCACTCACTGGATTTTATAAATTCTCTGAGTATCATGCATTTCTTGTTAAGAGAAATGGTAAAATTCCTCTCATCTGCCTATTCTATGGTATTTACATTTTTATAGACCTTCATCCCATCTTGCTTCTGTCTCTTTACCTCAGAATCCTCCTTCACTTGGAGACTTCTCATATGGAAGCCATCCCATATCAGACAACACTGTCTCTCATCTCTCCACCTCTTCTGATACCATCTTTCTGAGATGTAACGACCAGAACTGCAGAGTTCAACTGGCACACATTCACTGTGGGGTTAAAGTGTAGCATAATGAGGCTTTCTGTTCTCTGCTCTGCTGCTTTCCAAAAATTCTGGTTTTCTGGTCACCACTGATGACAGAGTTAATGATTCCAGAGAGCATCCAGAGATATCAAAGCAGCATTTTCCCAAGTGGCTATTAATTAACTTGATGCTCACATCACATACATACAGCATACTTACTTCTGCTATACATGCATGACCCTTTCATGCCCCTTCACATCCACTAGATTTTACTGACTGACATTCTATCACTAAACTCTTTGATATCCAGGCACCCTCTGCATAGCAAGCCATCAGTGTTAACCACCAAAGAATAATTTTGTGTCATCCACAGTTCTCATCACCTCACCACAGATCTTTTCCAAATTACTTATCCAAACATTGAATTACTCAGGTATCTGAGTTGAATGCCCCATAATAACTGTGGTGATTATGATATGCTGTGGCCACAGGAACTGAAAATGTTTTTCTGCCAATTAATGCTAATATTCTGCATCAGTGTAAGAGACACCAGCACATGCTAAAGACAGCTCAGCTGGAAAGCAGATCTGCAGAGAACATTGGGGTCCTGGTAGACCACAAGCTGATCATGAGCCACCAATGCTCCCTCACGGCAAAAGAAGGCTATCTGTGTCCTGGGACACTAGGACACATGGACACATGGACATTAGGACATGCCAGATTTGAATTTACTGGAGAGAGTCCAGCACAGAGCTACAAACATGACTAAGGGAGTGGAGCACTTCTCACTTGAGTAGAGGATGAAAGAGCAGGAACTGCTCAGCGTAGAGAAGATCTGAGGAGTGTGTGGGTGGATCTTATCACTGTGTGTAAATACCTGAGGGGAGGGAAGGAAGAACAAAGAGACAGACTTTTGCCAGCCTTGCTCACTGCCACGACAAGAGGTAATGAGCACAAATTGAAACATAAAACATTCCATGTGAACACAAAAAACAACCCTTTTTTATTGTAAGGGTGATCAAACAGTGGAACAAGATGCCCAATGAAGTTGTGGAGTTTCCATTTGCAGAGGTTTTCAAAATCTTGACCCTGTAAAGTTAGATGTCAAGAGCTCCTTTCCAACCTAAATTATTGTTATAAGATAGAACTTATTAAATACCACATATTATGTTTTATAGGTTCCTGCTCTAGGCACAATTTAAAAGAATTCATTGGCATGCATGTAAATTTCACTATTATGGCCACTTCCAGAGAAAGTTAGTATTACTTGTGTGAAAAAAAGTTCCACTAAAAGTTCAGAACAAGACTTTCCATAGCCACTAACAGACTTACTTGCAATAATTAAGGACAGAAATGCTGTTGCAATGTTATATGAAAACAGTGTTTTTGCTGTCATGTTTCCCTGCTGAAATGGAAAGAAAACTTTCAGTTAGTGGTTTCCAATATGAACTTCCACAATTTAAAGTAAACATCTGCATAACATAATTAATATAGGAATTACACAGTTTAAAGAAGACACATGAAATACAGGAATTGTCTTTAACTTGTTTTGAGCCTGTTACCTGCTTGTTTTACCTGACAGCTCCTAAAAAAGAGTGAACATCTCCTATTTCAGCTTGTCAAGCACTTGGGGTTTTTTACACCTCTAGCACACACCTCCCCTTAGTGCTTAGGAAAGCACTTCTTGCTTTCCTAAGCTACAGTCATAGATTCTCTAACTCTCACTTAGATGGAATCTGATTTCATAAGTCTGACTTTTTTGCCACCCACTTCTGTACTGCATCCAGTTATGCTATAGCCTGTCTGAGATGGGGAGGACAGGACATAACTTGCATACAGTCTTCAAAACATAAGTGCACTATGGATTTATGAACATAGACAATTATTGATTTATTTTTCCGGATTTTTTTCCTAATGATTTCTAACCCTATCTTTGTTCTTTGAGTACTACTGAGTATTGATCTGATATTTCCATAGGCCTATAGTAAAATTTCAAGATCTCATCACTGGGTACTAAGAATCAGGCAAACTCAGTCAGCTGTTGAGCACATGATGTTAGGATTTTGGCCATATGTTTTAATTTTAAATTTTTCTTATATTTCTCTACAACAATTTTCTTCTGCTATTATTAACCAGTCATTTACTATTGTGACATCTTTGTGCCATTCTTTGCAATTTACACCTCCACGTTCCAGCCTGAATAGCTTTGTATTGTTGGCAAATTCTGCCACTGAAACAGATTCCCTCTGTCTAGATCATCAAAATACATGCTGAAGAGTTGTTTGGGACTCTAGTAGTGATGTTTCTTCACCTAAAATCTAGGCATTTATCTTTTACATGTTTATTTATATATTTGAGAATGATTGTCAGGACTCTTTAGCAGTCCTCTGATCCCTAACACATTTGGAGAAGGATCTCTTAGCTGCATGCCTCTGGCAAGCTGCTCCTTAACTTGACCTGCTTTACTGTTTTTGTTTCTATGCAGCCTACCACAGAGCTTCACAGCACAGTGAGAGGACAAATGCAACGATTCCAACTGAAGTATGAGCAGGAGCACCCAATCCTGTCGTGACAAACATTTTTCTCATCATCACTTTCTATAAGAGTCAAAGATGACGCTTCCGGCTGCTGCGTCCCACTTCAGCAGACTGACTCACAAGTGTGCCATCTATTGAGTCATCCACACTGCTTCTTGCACTGCCTGCTTCCCTTCTTCCCTTTCTCTTTCCTCCTCCCTCTTACCAAATCTCCACTCAAATTACCAGGCAGGTCTTTTCTTGCCTAGCTCTAAGATGGGATGAGTCCCTGAAAGAATCCTGACACAAAACATTAAAATCTCAGAAGGCAGGTTATATGAGTTCGTACAAAAGCTACAACTTTTTCTATTATTCATGATGCACAGAATCTCTTAAAAATTTATCATTTTTAATTTTAAAGAAGAGGAAAATATTGTAACATATAATTTAAAGATAAAACAGGATTGAATAGACTCCACTTATGAGCAGGTGTTTTCTTTATGACTTCTCTGAATCACTGCTTTTTCACAAACTCTGCTCTCTTACAAAATTACCTTGCTCTTGTTCTAGTGGTCTGTCTCACAAGAGCTCTCTCAAAAAGTTTTTTGCCCCACCAGTAGATTTAGCAGATGCAGAAGTAGTATTTTACCAAATCCTGAAAGAAAGTCTTCCACAATCCTGCTTGTCTATAATTTCAATGTTCTTTCTATTTAAATTTATAATTTGCTCTTTTGTCAACATAGAAGACTTGCAAACATATATACAGCCTTGTGCTAGACCATACACACTACTTTGAGGAGATTCCCTCACCTCTCACTTTCCCCGATAAAAAATTTCCATTTCTATGGAAAGTAGACACGATAGCAAAATTAGGCTCTTCTCTGTGCATGCATTCACATAAATAAGGATGAAAATAAAATACACACAACTGCAGAACCAATTGCAAATGTTTTTCCTACCCCATTCTGCCATGATAAACAGTTAAATTTCTCCCTTTCCCCAGCCATTCTGTCCACATCTTGAGCACTCAATCGACCTGTGGAGCTTTTCATTCACAACAGACTTCAGCTCTGGTTATCTTTGCCCAGATATCCCAAAGGGGAAAAAATTTCAGGTATGCAAAGCCATGTCCATAAAGTTTCACTCTGAAAGGAAATATTTTTATCAATTGCAGTTTAAAAAAAGTCATTACAACCACCCCCCCCAAAAAAAACCCCATCAATTGTCTTCAATGATGTGTGCACCAGAATTACAATCACAGCATAGATGATGGCCTGTAGGCATAATTTTCATTAAATTTTCTCATTAAATTGGCATAATCACCTTTGAATCTGCTTTTTAGTCCTTTCAAAGTTGATCTACTCAATTGAAAAAAGAAGTCTCCCTAAAACTTCAAAGGATCACAGGTTTCAGTGATTCTGGCAAACTTGCGGCAGGTTTATTTGAATCTCATTCAAAAGCACAAACTGATTCAAACATGTAACAGTCCTCAGAACTAAGAGAACGAACCAAAAGTCAGAGTATCACACTATTTCTGGTATATAAACCTAGGAACATTTTAAATCATAAAAAATTAGTATGAACTACCTTAAATGCGCCTATTAACTGCAAGGTACACCATGCCTCTTCTAAAGAGATGAATCAAGTCTCTCACTTTTGATCACGAAAGAAATGATGACAGCAAACACATGCATTTCTTCACTGGACGTACCCAGTCAAAGTGGAAGAGCTGCGTTAGCCCCGTCAGGATGTAGTGACAGCACTGCGACTATGGTGCTTCTGTGAAACGCTGGCATCCCTCAGCGAGTACGGCAGGAAATCATTCTCTAATACGCTTCATTTAAATTGCGACGTGTTTCTGGAAGCTTCACAGCTTGGAAGGGGCTGTGGCTGCTGGGCGGTGCGGGGAGGCCGGCCCGGGCCGAGGGCTGCGGAGAACAGGCGCTCGCTCGCTTTGGGTCAGGATCCGAGCCGCGGTCAGGGCTGACCCTTTAAAGAGGTCTCACCCCTACTCCCAAAGTGTCCCCAGCCCCAGCTTCCCCAGCAGACAATACCTGGCTCCGAGCCACCTCCCAGCCCCAAAAGCGAGGCGTGGGAGCAAAGTGCGACTCCGGGCGCAGCAGTTCCATGGATGTGCTGCTCGGATCACCCCGGCCCGGCTGAGGCCGCCCGCCCCGTTACCGGAGCCACGGAGCGCAGCTCTCCCGGCCGCACCTCCCCGGCCTCGCCGCTCGGACCCGCGGCCGCCCCCGGCTCTCGGGGTCGGGCGAGACCCTGGGCCCCGTTACACCGAGGGCTCGCTGGGGCCGGGCCAGGGCCCGGGGACTCCCCTACCTGGTCCTCGGGAGCGGAGCAGCCCCGCTGCCGCCTCCCAGAGAGCCCCGGCAGCCGAGGGAGCGCGGCGGCGCTGCCCCGGCACGGGCGGCTCCTCCCAGCGACGCCTCACCTTCCCCGCCCGCAAACCTGGCTGTCCCCAGCGCGGTGGGGTGGCCCTGGGACAGGGCAGGGCAGGGCCAGCCCCCGTCCCCTCCCTGCTCCGGGGCAGGTAAGCGGTGCTGGTTAAACGCAAGCTCCGAAAAACAAAGCGTTTGAGCAGCCACACCAGCCCCTCACTGCTGCGGGATGGGCTCAGCCTCCGCCGCAGGAAATCCTCCAAGACTGCAAGATCTGAGGTGACTGACTTTTGTTTGTTTGTTTGTTTTCAAAGTACGAACAGGTGCAAATCTCCCTAGTTGAAGAGACCGTGTCACTGGAAGAGGAAGAGCCCTTCAGGACTCCGTGGAGGTTGTTGGCAGGAGCATCTCGGGGACATCGGCTGATTTATTTGCTTATTCAGTAGGCGGTTTTGGCTGCTTGGTCTGACCTGCCCAGACTGACACTGAGATATTTGGAAGTTGAACCTACAGGTTAGTCTCATATAGTCCCTAAGTTTTTATCTACAAACTTAACAGCTACTAAGTAGTCCTGGTATTTTACAGAGATCACTTAACTTCTGGCTGTTCTGGGAACAGTATGTTCTCTAGGTTCTGGCGATTCTTAGTTCTCTGTTTCACAACACAGCTAGAGCCAGAGTTTTTCTAAGCAGAAGTTCCTCAAACTATTTTGTTAATGTGGGCAATTTTAACACTGCACTGCCACTTACTTGTTGACTAACTACTAAACTAGATATTAAGGTAGGGGAAAGCTCTTTCTTATGTTCTTCACAAAGCAGGCAACAATCATGGACTACAGAGCTATCAAAGTAGATGTTCTCATTGTTGTTAAAAATACATAATAACATTTGCGAAGCAAATTACAAGTATTCTACAAAAACTGTGGAGAATAATCCAGACATGTCCTGTCCCTTCCACCCCTTTTCATCCTGCTTTGGTACTTCTTTCATTTAATGTTCTGGTACTATTTTATTATTTATTATATTTATCAAATGGAAAGATTCAAACATCCTGCCCACTAGCTGCAGATAAGTGAAGGTGAAAACTTATGCCCTGCCGTGGCCGCATAAACTGTCTCCTATCAATCCAATGTATGTAGTGTGAGCTGGAGGCACATTGTAACACTTCCAAAGCTGTTGGGAGGTATACAGAAAATTAATTCATTCCTGACTCGGCAAACACAGGAGGATTTATACAGTCAGCTTGTTTCTCTTTGGTCACTACTTCTACCCATATTTAATATTGGAAATGTTTCTCATTAATTCTCAAACAGTGCAAGATTATGCAAGATTTTTAGGTTTTGTATTATTTTGCATGACCAGAAAAGATCTGTGACCTATCAACAGTACCTGACAGTAGTTAGTCTGAAATTATGTCTTCTCAAGCATGCCTTGTGTGGTCATCAGGTCCTCCACACCAACTGACTTGAACTGCAAAAATCAGGGCAA